CATGGTTTTTGAAACCTTTTAAGAGTTAAAACTCTTTTATAAGCTTAGCCATAATGTATCAGCAACTGTCTGGATCGAGCTGGCGTTTAAGACTTTAACTTTGAATTATGAAAACTTTTCAAGTCATTTCTGTAAGTATTTTTTAATATAATAGAATACAAACATTTAATAAATGTGTGCAACACTTGCCACTATTTACTACAAAATAGTGTTAATTAAACAATAGAAAACAATAGAATTAGCATAACACAGTATTTAGTGGTATTTATGTTGCACAGTTTTAGTGTTTGTACTCTAGTGTAAAAATAGTGTTTTAATCGTTTTGTACATAGAGTGTTAACGCACTTAATCCGTGAAACAAATATTACTAATTACTACTAAATTGTCCACCCTGCGAGCAGAGTGTATTTCATTGAGGTAAGGAAATACACTCTGCTCGCAGGGTATAAATTGTCTTGATTGACAATAGAAAACAAAGGAATTGGTATAATATAATATTATTTTGTACTATTTAAGGTGGTAGATACGGATAAAATGCACGCGTTTTGAATATTTTTATAAAAGAAACAGACTGCTATTTGCTCAATAAGTCATACATGGACACATACTTTATAAAATTTTCGACCAAAATGTGTAGTCAAATGTGTGAGTTTTCACACCAAAGGTGTTGGAAATGGACAGGGAACCCAGGGCTGTCAAATCGTATTTATTATGATTTCTCCAAAAATACACAGAGCACGTCACTCATATTGGCCATGATTATACTATAGATAAAGGGGAAACTTTGTGCCGCAGACCTTTTTCATGAGTGTTATTTGAAAAAAATTTTGAGCTTTCAAATATTTGCCATTCTTATGCATTCGTCAAATAATCACAAAACATCGAACAGTAAATGGCTTTGGTGAAAACAATTTTCTAAAGTCACTTTAATCTCTCGGTCAAATTTCTTTATCATAGTCCAAAAGGTCATTTAAAAAATCAAAAAATAGTGTAGAAGAATAGATTCACAGGTAACCATAACACATTGCACATTCGGCGTGGCATCAAGCAGTGCGTAATCCTACTACGCAAGCTCTGTGAAACTAGATATCGGAAGTGAACAAGAAATTGCTATCTGATTTCAAGATGGCAGATCAAAATGGCCGTTTTAGTTACCACAAACTTGAGTGTTTTCACTTCAAACCATACAAAAAAACACAAGCATTTATAGCGGAATGTATTTAGACATATCTAGTCAATGCTTTTCACCGAAAAAAATGACATGCATTTTAGCCGTATCTACCACCTTAAGCTTCACGGATTAAGTGTGTTCACTCTATTTCATATAGGTTTAGTATTAGTTTAGAGGGGCACAAGTTTATTGGCATTGTAATTTACGTSTTAAATAAAATCTTTATTATTATATTTAAGCTTACTTTGAAAAGCTTAAATCAGTATCAATAAAATTTTACTTTTCTGAACTAAAGTCTATCTGTGTGCAAATTATTCTTATATTTAAAAGTTTTCATGTTCAGAGGTCAGCAGGGCATAGTTAATAGATATTAACTATGGTCAAGGCAACTTCAAAACATAATTCAAAAACTGAGTTTGCATATTTGTATTTTATATCTGCATGTACAAAGACTATTATTCTGTCAGAGCTTATATTGGATAAGCAAATCATAGTCTGCAGTTCTGTAGACTTCCCCTGTTGGTTACAGTCATGATAAGCATCTTATACAAGCAACCCTCATGTACTATTGGTTGATATTGGTCATATTATTTGGCACTATTAAGAGAACAGTGATAAACCTGTAAAGGTTTAAATGAAAATCAAAATCATCATGATTTTGATTTTGATTTAAACCTTTACAGGTTTTAAGTATTTTAAATGCTTATTCAAG